GACTGTCGGATCTTGCAAAATAGACGTATTCGAAAATACAAAAGGCTGGGGGTACTGGTGTTAAGCCTCGACCTGGAGGTCGAGGTTCGGGTGTTCCGCACGTCACTGGACCTCGTTCTCGGGTTATTTCTACTATTTCACCAGGTCTCACCTGGAAACAAAATGTAGAAAATTGAAACTTATGCACGTTTTTTGAATTATGTGTAGACAGGTCCTATCTTTAAGGGGCACAACTAGAGTAACCGCCCAAAAAAAGGTGATTTTTGGGAATTTATAATAAAAAAACTACTTTATGAATCATTTCACAATTTTAGGAATATATTTATACATGTTTTAAAAATACATAGTAAAATTCTTGAAGAAAAAAATTAAATATTTTTTAAGTTATCATCGATCTCCAACGGTGCGACAAAAAAAAGGCCCTTCACTGCTGCAGCGATTCCGACCTTCCACGTGGATGAAATTAAAAAAAAAATTCTTATTGAACTAGATAATATTGTCTGTAAAATGAACTACGATGAAGAAAAAAAATCAAAAATTGACAAAATGACGGCATTTTTTAAAAAAAAAGTCGAATTTTACCCAAAATTTTGGTCGTTTTTGGACTGCCAAAATTCGATTTTTGACCCGATCAAAAAATGGATAGTTCATTTTACGAAGAACTATATATAGAACGCGTATAAAAAATTCGATAGTAATCGGATCATTTGTTTTTGAGTAATCGCTGCAGCAAGTTCGAAAAATGCTCTTTCGAGAAAAACGCGTTTAAAGATAAAATGATCGTCATACTATATACTACATATATACTCTTTAAATGGCTGTGACTCAAAAACCATTTAAGATATCGACTTATAAGTTAGGTATGTCATTTTTGAAGGTATAACCTATCGAAATATGAAAAAATTGAAAATTCGATTTTTTGAAAATTTCACACTAGTTGTGCCTCTTAATGCGATGCAGGCAAAAAATGCGGGCGCACGCCTTAGAGGGCATCAAAACGAGATTCAGAAATGAAATTTTCAATATAGTTTTTTTTTCAATATATATCAAGAAACATATAATTTCTTTGCATTTTTCACTAATTTTTTATCAATATTTATATAAGATGCAATTTTGGATATTTTAAATAATAAAAAATTCAAAATAAAATAATCCGACATAAAGCACTAGTGTTATGTTCAATAATAAAAGGCCAGATTTTTTTTGCTTTTCATGATTTGTTTAATAGAATAATTCGCATAGAATCTCTAAAGAAACTAGAAAACTAGAAAAAAACTAGTTGGTTTGGTATTTAGCCTAGAGGCAAGTTACATGAACTTCCCGATATGTGTAATTAATCGACTTAATTAATAAAAAATAATTTATTTCATGAGTGATTAGAAGTATTCCGAGTGGATTTATTACACATAATTGAAAACGAACAAACACTTTGACACGGAGTATTTTCTAATAGCAAATTTTCAAAAATCAACAATTTTTATAATTGAACAAGTTTCCATAAGACTTTAATGGTTTAGTATGTTCATTAAAACCAAGTACTCTATCTTTATACTAAGTAAATCGTCTAATTTTAATTTTAACAAACGGCAAAAAAACTACTCATTTTCTTAACCTTTGATTGATTTTTAAAATTAAACTACTTGTCGTAAGGCCCTGATATTTCAGTAAGTTCTATAAGACCATGATATATATCGCCAAAAAAAAATTCCATGAAAATCGGCTTAATTATTTTTTTCAACAGTTAATTACAAGAGAACGGCTCGGTAGATTTTCACCTAAAACTAATCAGTATCATTCCACACTAATACTTTTGGAACAGTTTTTGATTTTTTAAAATCGATTCGGTAGTTTAAGCTTAAATGTGGACGAAAAGTTTAACAATTTTATTCAAATTACAAAGAAACGGCTCGGCAGATCGTCTCACAAAATTGACAAATTATAGTCCTCATTGTGATACATCAAATGGCTTTTCAATTTATGCAATCAGTTCAGGCGTTTTTGAGAAAACGTCGATCAAAGGTTTAATTTTTTCAAATGTCAAAGAAACGATACTAATTTTTGCAAACTTTGACGATTTTTTAAAATTAAACCAATTGTCGTAGGCCCGTAATATTTTAGTATGATCTACAAGACTATGGTATCTACCGTCAAAAAAAAAATCATAAAAATCGTCGATTTTTTTTTTTAATTTTATTACAAGAAAACGGCCCGACCGATCTCTACTAAAAACTAATCAGCACGATTCCCAATCAATATCTTTCGAACGGTTTTTGAATTTTCATAATCGATTCAGAAAGGCGGGCTAAAACGTAGACGAAAAATTTTTCACTTTTCTGCTATTTATAAAGAAATGTCTCGGCCGATCGTTGTTACAAAACGTCAGAAACGCTAGTCCTCGTCGAGATACATCGAACGGCTTTTAAATTTTTGAAATCGGCCCAGCCGTTTTCGAGAAAACGTCGATTTACGGCAAAAAATCTGTTCACACACACGCACACACACACACACACACATACTTTTTCCAAATTTGTTCTCATTCGATTCAGAATGGCTTGAAACGTCGAGAAAGCATAAAATTAGCGAATCGGATTTTTTGATGAAAACATAAACTTCTCCTTCGGGAAGTTAAAAAAGCAAATTCAATCATCATTGATATAGAATATTTATGCTCATCAGGCAATTCTTCTGCTACATTTTCCTAGATTTCTGGATATAACTTGAAAACTATTTATTGTATCTTCACGCGAACTTCTGGTAAATTGTTAGTTATAAAATTATCTACGATATTGTTTTACATCATACTTTCATAGAATTGATATTTTTGCGTTAAAAAACGCAAACTTAATTAGCAATAGATTAGGCTATTAGTATATTTACCTCTCTGACATAACGTGCGCCTATAGACAAAAATCCGCAACTCTCGCTTGATATAACCCATCCATCAGCAGGAATATCGTTAACATCACCTGGACAAAAACAAAAAATACAATCACACCCCTATTTCTGAAATTAAATCACAAACTGTCTACTGTCTACCTGTAGCTCCTATAGGTACAATCTTCCCCAAGCACAAGGGTCGATTACCATAAGGGTCTCTGACACCATATATTCTATCCCTGAATGCAATCACCAAGGAATAAGATAAGGGCGCTAATCGCATTAGTTGCCTAATTCGTGCAGGCCAATCAGGCCCTGATCCTTCGGCTTCTGCACCATCAGGAGGCGAAAGACACAACGCCTGGGTTATCAGTTCGGAATCGGAATGGGTTGATAGACCTACACCACGAGCCAAAACCTGGTAGGAGAAATATATTATAATAAAAATAAATATTTTGATGTAGAAGAAGAATTAATTTCTACCATTCGTCTCAGGCTTTCACAATTGACAAGTTCTCCATTGTGAGCAACGGCCATGATTCCGTGATTCGTGTGTACTACAAAGGGTTGGCAGTTTACTTCTTCACTGGCTGCTGATGTCGAATATCTGAAGGAACAGAAAATTAACTAAGGTAAGTTTTATCTTATATATCTTTTATATAAAAATCGAGCTCTCGATCAAATGATTCGCTAAAACTCGAAAACGGCTAAACCGATTTGGCCAGTCTTAGTCTTGAACAATTCGTGCCACTCAATAGGTTGTCGGAAAGGTGAGATATTTTTCCAAAATCGCGTACAAACTTTACATTTTTAATTTGAACATTTTTGTAGAAGCGCAATTTAAACTAGTTGTGTGTATGGCATCGTGCCTTAAACCAAATTGCTGGATTGACTTCCCGTACCGTAACGAAATGTTCGAGGAATACTGAATGTTTTCAAATAGACTATTATAAGTATTGTAACATTCTTATAAATATTGTCATTTATAAGAATTATATAAACTGAATTGCAAAGTTGAAATTATTTGTTGAAAGTATATTAGAACTTTAGTCAGAATTAAAAATAAAATCTGAATTATTTTCGATAAACAAAATTTTTTTTTTTAAAAAAAAAAGTTGAAACATTTTTTTCCCAAAATCAATTATTTTGTTAAGACAAGCAGAAAGTTCTTTGAATCATTTAAATCGGACGCTTAGTTCTCTCAAAAATTGCCATTTTTAGCCATTTAACTCCGTATCTTCGAAATGACTGGGCCTGCCTTTGCCAAAATCTGATAAACACTTCTCCCAATCATTACTAATTGAATGTTTTTTAGAACATTCAAATCGGATGCTCCGTTCTCTCAAAAATTCGATTTCTATTTTCTGTACTCTTTGCTCTTTATCTCCGTAACTGCTGGACCTGCCTCTGCCAAAAACTAATCAGCTCGTCTCCTTATCAATAGGAATCGAATGTTTTTTGAACCATTCAAATCGGTTGATCCATGCGCCCGAAAACGTGACTGGAAATTTGTATCCATACATACATACACACACACATCCATTTTTTCTGAGGTGTGCCAAAATGTTCAAAAACCTTCAAAACGTCGAGAAATGTAAAAAATTTCAATTTCGATTTTCGGCCCATTACAATAACTTACCCTACGGGAAGTTAATAAAACAATGGACGGTGGCTAATACGTCAAATGTCAAACGTTTTTGACAGATGATGTTCAATTTCGTTTAAAGGGATGTTTTACGTAGATATCATTTAATTATGATTAAATTGTAGTGAGTAGTTTTGTTCGTAGTTTTATTTATACACAAAAACGTTATTAAACGGATTGCAAGTGTTACTAGAAACGCAAAATATCAACTTTTTCGAAATGTTAATATGAAAATGCACTTTTTGGCGTTGTAGCACTCTTATTTGCAAATCACATTTTTCTCAAACACGGTGCTCTGAAAGATCTCATTTGTATAATTATATACATGTACTCATTGGTATTTATAAAATATTTTCTAAGTTATATTATTTTTTATTTATGTTATTTAAATTCAGAACCTAAATTTGGTATCGATCAAAGGGACCTTTTCACGTATAACATTTTAGTAAAGTTAAGCATTGTTTAACAACAATATTTGAAAGTAGAGGGAAAAAGATGTATAACCAGCTATAACCTTGATTCTCATGACCGTGCTATCGGGAGTTAAACGATAATCTTTAAAAATCCACAATAAAAGTATTTTCTTTCGTTGGTAGTTTTTTAACATTAGTTAAAAATGAAAATTATTTTGTAAAATACCTTTAAAATTAAAATAAGACATTAAACCTGTTTGCCTTCTGGCCGTTCCAAGTTACCCCGTCTATAGGGTAAAAAGGTCTAGATAACAAATTTTTGAATGACAACAAAAAAACACATTTCTTCAATGATGAAGTAGCTGGCAGTTTTACTGAACGTAGTCAGATAATTGTTCGTTTGAAATGTGTTATTTGTTGTGATATAATTGGTTTAGTTTTTATAATATAATTAATATTTGCTCAAAATCAAATTGGACCTTTGTGCCTTCACCATGCTCAACATATATACTTTTGATTAAATTGACTTTAATTTATCGAATGTTGAAACTTTTCAAAAAGCAGGTCAAAAAAGAAATACTTAATATATTTTCTATCTCTCCTCGCAGAAATTTGAAAATTTTGTATAAGCTCAGTAGTATTATTTACAATTATACACAAAATCCAGAATCGAAAAAGAATGTGAAAAACTTGAAAGGTAATCAATAAGTTGAAAGACCAAAAAAGACTTGGGTTAGATTATACCATGTTTTCTATAGAAAGTGTACAAAACTTCCAGACAAAATATAGACTAATGGGGTTTATTGTTTTCATAATACCTCATTGTATATAACATTCAAACAACACATCCTTATACACTAAAAGTATTAATATTTTTGATTCTCTAGAAATTGTTTAAAATATACCTTACTTAGCAAAACAACGTTTGTCGAGTCAGCTAGTTGGTTAATATTTTTTATCCCTTACCTCGTGTGTCCGATTCCCAGGTTGCCTTTCAACTTTTTCATAGTTTCATCTGTAAAGATATTGCTAATCATACCCATTCCTTTGTGAATGTTAAAACTTTTGGCACAAGTTCCTTCGCTCGTGACGATTCCTGCCGATTCTTGGCCTCTGTGCTGCAGGGCGACCAGGCCTAGTACTATCACTTGGGCAACATCAACCTGGGGAAGAAAGAAATATAGTAGAAATTATATTTCTAAAATATAAATATAATAGAAATTATATTTCTATTTATTTTTTGTTGGTTTTTACATTTACCAACCTGCGTAGGCCAATCGCCACATGCTATTGCTCCAAAAACGCCACATTCGTGGGTTAGGCCACTTTCTACTGCTCCACGACCCTTCCTGGGAAAAGGATAAGGGTTAAATTATATGCAAATGTTGTTTTTCTGGTTGATGGTTTAGACAAAATTTATTAGGTATTATCGTAGAGTAGTACTATTAGTAAAATTATCATGGCAATGCTCTCTTATGCTTGTTCTTGGTATTGAAAATCATGAAAATGTCTATTTGCCGTGCGATCAGGCGTATTTTACATATAAACAAAGCAGCAAAAAAGAATCTCATGATAACTGCATCATCGAAGATTCTCTTACGATTCCATTCTTCCTTGCTTTGTTTGTTTATATTTATTTATTTTATTTATTTATTAACTTCCCGTAGTTATTGTAATGGGCCGAAAATCGAAATTGAAAATTTTTACATTCCTCGAAGTTTTGAAGGTTTCTGAACATTTTATTGGCATGCCTCAGAAAAAATGGATGTGTGTGTGTGTATGTATGTATGGATACAAATTTCCAGTCACGTTCTCGGGCGCACGGATCAAACGATTTGAATGGTTCAAAAAAACATTCGATTCCTATCGATTAGGGAGATGTGCTGATTAGTTTTTGGCAAAGGCAGGTCCAGCCGTTTCGGAGATACGGAGCAAAGAGTGCAGAAAATAGAAATCGAGTTTTTGAGACAACGGAGCATCCGATTTGAATGATCTAAAGAACATTCAATTAGTAATGATTGGGAGAAGTGGTTATTAGTTTTTTGCAAGGGTAGGCCCAGCCATTTCGAAAATACGGAGCTAAATATACAAAAACTGGCAGTTTTTGAGAGAACTAAGCGTCCGTTTCAAATGATTCAAAAAACTTTCTGCTTGTTTTAACAAAATAATTGATTTTGGAAAAAAAAAATTGTACCAACTTTTTTTTAAATTTTTTTTTTCAAATTTTTTTTTATTGTATATCGAAAATAATTCAGATTTTATTTTTAATTCCGAATATAGTTCAAATATACTTTAAGCAAATAATTTCAACTCTGCAATTCAGTTTATATAATTCTTACAAATATTAGACAATGCTACAATATTAATAATAATCTAGTTGCAAACATTTAGTATTCCCCGTATATTTCGTTACGGTACGGGAAGTTCCAGCAATTTGCCTTAAGGCACGATGCCATACACCCCACTAGTTTTTTATTTAGTTTAGCAGAAACTAGATAAAATTTACTAAATCACTAGTTAAAGTGTTTTATATACTTTAATATAAAAATTTTGAATTAAACGAGTTGCAACCCACTTTTATAAATTGGACCTTACATGGATTCAGGCATTTTTAGACATTTTTTCATAAAATTTTAAAATTTCGTTTTGGGCACTATAATTTTTTATGTTAGCAGAAACTAGATATTATTTATCAAAATACCATATAAACTATTTTATGTACTATGATACTAAATTTTTAAATAAATATTTTATTAGTTACATCTCGCATTTATATATTCTATCCATCATGGTCATTTGGGTCGGGACATTTTTCTGCCTGTCTTTATATAACTGAAAAATTTCGTTCCGGGCACCCTGATATTTTTAACTTAGCATAAACTAAATAAAATTTACAGAAATTTTACATAAACCAAATATTTAAATAAACTTATTGTTAATTGCAACTTGCATTTATATATTGTATCATTGTATCAAAATCATCGCTATTTGGGTCGGGTAATTTTTCTGCATTTCTTCAACTTAAAAATTTCGTTCGGAACATTCTAATTTTTTTATCTTAGCAGAAACTAGATGAAATTGACTAAAATTCTACATAAACCAAAATATATACTCTGATACTAAATTTTTAAATAAACCAATTGTTACTTGCAACTCGCATTTATATGTTTTATCAATCATCGTCAGGACATTTTTCTGCATTTCTTCAAATAACTTAAAAATTTCGTTCGGAGCATTCTAATTTTTTTAGCTTAACAGAAACTAGATAAAATTTACTAAAATTCTACATAAACCAGAATATATAATATGATACCTTTTGTCTGTGACTTCTTTCAGTTCATCTGCTGCAGGCGTTTTCCGACAGCCATCCTTGTCGATGGTAGACTCCATCTACCGGCAGATCTTTAGGACACTGCAAAGGAACAAGGTGAGTCAAGAAAAATACTTTTTTTTAATTTTTCATTAATTAAAAATATTTGTATTGTTTCATAAGTTTGGCCTAGATATTTTACTCTCGATACTAAATTTCACCCACAACTCAGTTTTATCGTCAAATTTTTCTTTTTCAAGTTTGCTCGTCAGTAGAGTTCTCTTATTATCTCCTTGGCTACTAATTATTTTTTTTAATACAACGTTTTTTATATGTAGTTCGAGTTAGTAGAGTGTCATTTTATATTCAAAGATGCAATTTAAGGGATTGTATTCCTAGATTTTTTGATATAACTCGAAAACTATTTGTCGTACCTTCATGCAGTCTTCTGGTAAATTATAAATTATAAAATTCTGTACAATATTGTCTTACATCATTTTTCTGTAGGATTGATATTTGTACGTTGAAAACACGTTTGAAACTACAAATTTGAATAGCATTAATATAGGATATTAATACTCATCAGGCAATATTATTTCGTACACATCAGGCAATACTTCGTTTTTATAGGGATACAGGTGCATTTTTTTTAGATTTTTTTTATATATCTCAAAAACTATTCGTTGTATCTTAATGCAATCTTCTGGTAAATTATAATTTATAAAATTATCTACAATATTGTCTTACATAATATTTTTGTAGAATTGATATTTGTACCTTAAAAACACGTTTGAAAATACACATTTAAATAGCAGTAGAATAGGATTTATTCTTAGATTTTTGGCTATAATTTGGAAACTAACTGTTGTATAAAAAATACATAAATAAATTTCAAGTCACAAAATTACCTACAATATTGTCTTATATAAAACTTTTATAGAATTGATATCATCATTAGAATAGGATATTTATACTCGTCGGGCAATACTTCTGTCTATTGGGATAGAGGTACATTTTTTTATATTTTTGGGTATAACTCGAGAACTATTTGTCGTATCGTAATGCAATCTTCTAGTAAATTTTAAGTTATAAAATTATCTACATTATTGTCTTACATCATATTTTTGTAGAATTGATATTTGTACGTTAAAACATTTTAATAGTTTTTTTTCGAAGTTAAGTCTTTTAATTTATTTGTGACGATTATATTTGTTGTGTACAGTAACTTTTATTACTAATATTTACATTTTAATCGTTTATTTATATTTACTTAATGCATAAATGTTAAACAATTTATTTAACTGGAATTTATTTATGAATGGCGCCTATTTTATTTTATTATCTGTATTTATCTGAAATTATATATTTATAAAACCTTATCTTAGCAAAAGCTTCCGTTTGCATTTGAAATTCGATAGTGATACCTAGTAGTGAATATTTGTATATATATATATATATATATATATATAAGATTTTTTTATTTTATTTGAGTGCATAACAACTGGAGAAGAGAGAACAACATGTTTGCGTCAAATATATTATTGACAACAATATATATAAATAAGGAAAAATAACGAAATGTATATATATATATATATATATATATATATATATATTTCGATTATGACGATGTCGATGATGACGCACAGATCATTATTATTATAAAAGGGCTAAAGTTCATCACCGATAATGAGGATGTGTAATAAATATGTGTCTTTTATCAGGTCGAGGTGACTAATAATTCTTATAATCTCGAAAAAGAAAAAAATTATGAAATTTAATCTTACACATGAGCTGATATAGGAAATGGATCTTCATAATTTTTTTGTGGCCAATAAGATAAGGCTTGGGAAGGTTAAGAGGTATCCCAATTTTGATTTTGTGTCAGTAACCTAATGAAGTTCGTAATCGACTTTTTTTATTTAGAGAAATAAAAGAGCTTATTGAAAAAGGAACTGTACTAGCGAGCAAATTAAATTTTGACTTAGACTACCAAACGATTTTATTCAAATACGCTTGTTGGCGTTTAAATATCATTAGTAATTTTGAAGGCATTTTGAAGTGAAAATAACAGTTATTTTAGAACATGATGTGAGACAATATTATAGATAATTTTATAACCTAAAATTTACCAGAAGATTGTATAAAGTTACAACAAGTGGTTTTTGAGATATATCCAAAAATCTAAGAAAATGTACCCGTATCCATATGAACTGAATCATTGCCTGATGCGTATAAACATCCTAATGTACTACTATTTAACTTTGTATTTTCAAACGTATTTTTAGAGTACAAATATCAATTCTATGAAATTATGATGTAGGACAATACTGTAGATAATTTTATAATATACAATTTACCAGAAGATTGTATGAAGTTACAACAAATAGTTTCCTAGTTATATCTAAAAATCTATGAAAATTATCCATTTCCTCTATATGAAGATGTATTGCCTGATGTGTATAAATATCCTAATTTTATGAGTGCTTAACTGATTGTAGGTTTTTTTATAGTAGTGATGATTAATGCCGAAAATGAAGCTATCTAATATTGTTTTTCATTTTTATATAAATATTGTGTTTAAAATTTTATATAATTTTAATTTATAAATATTTAGTTCATAAGTTACGCCTAAAAATATTAAATGTTCTGCCTAGTTTGAATGTAGGGTTGCCCGATGTGTACTAAATGGTCTCTTTTCATTTCAATTCTTCTTTTCAATAAAGTATTATTTTTAAAATGTAAGACTAAAATTTATAATTGTTATTTTCGGAACAAATGAACAAATTCTTGCAAAATAACTATTAGAACTAAATCTCCAGGATAATTGTTTTTAAAAGAATTCTTTAAATTTTCAAATATATATTGATGAAATTCTAAGCTTTAAATTATTTAAATATATAAAACTAGTTTAGATACATTGAATACATATTTTAAATAAATTTTGACAATCTCTTAAGTAGCCATACAGATATGATATTTGTCCACATCGGGCAATCCTATTTTGGGAATTCAGACAGACATTTTTTTATATTTATTTATATAATTTGTAAATCAATATTGCAACTTAATGCAGTTTTCTGATAAAAATTAAGTTATAAAATTATCTGCAATATTGTCTTACATCTTTCATAGAATTGATATTTCACTTTAAATATTTGAATAGCATCAGATTAGGATATTAATACCCATCAGGCAATGTTATTTGTTACACATCGGGCAATACTTCTGCTTCCACGAACGGTGATACATTTTCTTAGTGTTTTGTATTTAACCTGTAAACTATTTGTTATATCTTAATGCAACATTCTAATGAATTTTGAATCATAAAATTATCTATAATATTGTCTCAAATCATATTTTTGTAAAAATGATATTTGTACTTCAAAAATACGTTTAATACTAATAAAATGTAATCAGTCCTCTCTCAGAACTGGTTTATGAGTTTTACCAGGTATTTATTTTACAACAAAGGTATAGATAGAATATAAATTATTAACTAGGCGCCTATTATTTGTTTATAATCATAAATGCACATATATATTTATTTGTTTAACCCAAATGAATTCGCAATTAGATAACACTAAAATGTTTCCAATTCGTTTGCGATGCAATTTATTTTCGCAGCGGAATATTTCGCAAAATATTATTTATTGCATAGATTTTTTTATATAATTGAAGATGATAAACAACAGCAATCAGATCGACATAATCATAAATATAATTATAAATAATAATTTTAAAAATGCGTTTGCATTTGCAATCGATTGCGTAAATGCAATGAGATAAAATATTGTTGACGACAATTATTGCAAGATCGTTTTATTTATAGATAAAATTGTTAAAAAAATGAGTTTATTAAGAAATTAATGTTATTCTAGTCATGATTCTTGTGTATTATTGACTAAACAATAATAAGTTCTATTTGTTAAATGATTTAGATTCTGTTTATGCACTTATTACAAAGATATGACTAAAGTTTCATTTGATATGTATTTTTAAGCACAAATATTGATTTTGCGAATATATGATGTAAGACAAAAATACAGATCATTTTATCACTAAGAATTTACCAGAAGATTGCATTAAGGTACAATAACTAGTTTACAAGTTATATAAATAAATATAAAAAAATGCCCCACATTTCTTACACACTTAAATAGTATTGCCTGATGTGTACAAATAACCCAAATTTATGACCACTTAACAGATTGTGAACCTGATTGTTCTAAATTATTCTAAATATTTATGCAATTAATATAAACTAGTTTTAATCATTTAAATAAATCAAAGCCTAGAATTTTAGGAATATTTTTTAAAATTCAAAGATTTTTTCCAAAAAAATTATCCTAAGAGTTCTCATAGTAATATAAAAATATTTCAGCAATTTGAAGTTATAATGAATGTTTCTAACTTTTTCTAAAATATCAATTAAATTTTTATTTAAGTGCCAAAAATAATAATTTTAATACAATTTAAATAACCACTTTATTTATATAATAAAAATATATACCATTTTTTACACATCGGGCAATCCTAATTTAAATAGCTTCAACATTAATAATTATAGTTGAAAAAAATCTTGCATTTTATTAATGCAGCCATAAAATTAGGATATTTATACGCATCAGGCAATCCTATTTTATACACATCAGGCAATACTTATGTTTATAGGAATAATTGAAACATTTTTTTTAGATTTTTGGATATATCTCGAAAACTATTAGTTGTATCTTAATGCAATTTTCTGCTAAATTATAAAATATGAAATTATCTACAATATTGTCTTACATCATATTTTGATAGGCTTGATATTTGTAATTTAAAAATGCGTTTGAATATACAAATTCAAATAGTATTAGATTAGAATATCTATACAGGCAACATTTTAATATAATTTAAATATTTATTTATTTATATAGTAAAAAGATTTTTTACACATCTGGCAATTCAAATTTAAATAGCTTCAACATTAATCATTTTTATTATGAAAAATCTTGCATTTTATTAAATAGTCATAAAATTAAGGGATATTTATACGCATCAGGCAATCCTATTTTATACACATCAGGCAATACTTATGCTTATAGGAAAAATTGGAACATTTTTTTAGATTTTTGAATATAACTCAAAAACTATGAGTTGTATCTTATTGCAATCTTCTGGTAAATTATAAATTATAAAATTATCTATAATATTGTCTTATATCATATTTTTATAGAATTGATATTCATACTTCAAAAATACGTTTAAAATCCAAATTTAAATAGTATTAGATTAGAATATCTACACAGGCAACATTTTAATAAAATTTAAATATTTATTTATTTATATAATAAAGATTTTTTACACATCAGGCAATTCTAATTTAAATAATTTCAACATTAATAATTATAGGTATGAAAAATCTCGCATTTTATTAAGCAGTCATAAAATTAGGATATTTATACGCATCAGGCAATCCTATTTTATACACATCAGGCAATACTTATGTTGATAAGAAAAATTGGAACATTTTTTTTAGATTTTTGGATATATCTCGAAAACTATTTGTTGTATCTCAATGAAATCTTCTGGTAAATTTAAAATAATGAAATTATCTTAAATCATATTACATCTTACATCATATTTTTGTAGAACTGATATTTACACTTTAAAAATACGTTTCAAAATACAAATCGAATTTAAATACTTCTACGTTAATATAACAATCTTAGAACAAAGATCTTTAATTAGTAGTTAATTAAAAAAATATACTGCGTATTTCATGATATATATATATATATATATATATTATATGTATATATATCAAATTATTAATTTGCATATTATTTATGTAATTCAATATTTTTATCGATAACAAGTCTGCATTGAAAACCTGTTGTGAGAAACTCGATCTAATTATTTTGTTGATGAGAAAATTATCGTTTATTTAGCATTTTTAATTACTGCAGAATTATATAATTATATATACACATACTTTAATATTTATATAATAATATTTTGCGATTTAGCCAAAACAAATATTAGCAGTAATAAATTTGATTTGTAACAGAATTATGTGATGGATTCGGGACATTTTTTAACTTCCCGTAGGGTAAGTTATTGTAATGGGCCGAAAATCGGAATTGAAAATTTTTACATTTCTCGACGTTTTGAAGGTTTCTGAACGTTTTGGCATACTTCAGAAAAAATGGATGTGTGTGTGTATGTATGTATGGATACAAATTTTCGCCCACGTTTTCGGGCGTACGGATCAACCGATTTGAATGGTTTAAAAAACATTCGATTCCTATTGATAAGGAGATGTGCTGATTAGTTTTTGGCAAAGGCAGGTCCAGCAGTTACGGAGATAAGAAGCAAAGAGTGCAGAAAATAGAAATCGAGTTTCTGAGAGAACGGAGCATCCGATTTGAATGATCTAAAAAACATTCAATTAGTAATGATTGAGAGAAGGGGTTATTAGTTTTTCGCAAAGGCAGGCCCAGCCATTTCGGAGATACAGAGCTAAATGTACAAAAAATAGCAGTTTTTGAGAGAACTAAGCGTCCGATTCAATTGATTCAAAAAACTTTCTGCTTGTCTTAACAAAATAATTGATTTTGGAAAAAAAATTTTTGTTCCATTTTTTTTTTTTTTTTTTTTTAATTTTTTGTATATCGAAAATAATTCAGATTTTATTTTTAATTATGACTATAGTTCTAATATACTTTAAACAAATAATTTCAACTCTGCAATTCAGTTGATATAATTCTTATAAATATTAGGCAATGTTACAATATTTATAATAATCTATTTGTAAACATTCAATATTCCTCGAACATTTCGTTACGGTACGGGAAGTTCCAGCAATTTGCCTTAAGGCACGATGCCACCCACCCCACTAGTTTACATTTGGGTTATTTTTTAGTTAACTTAGCAAAAACTAGATAAAATTTACAACAGTTTTGTGTTAATAGTTTGAATTGCTTGGATATAAAATTTAAAATAAAATGAGCGTGAACTCTCACCCTTGTGTATAGTGTAAATTTGTTATATATATATATATATATATATATATATATATATTCGGGACACTTTTTTATATTTCGTTAAATAACTTGAAAACTTGGGAAGGGACACTGTTTTTTAGTTAACTTAGCAGAAACTAGATAAAATTTACAATATTTTTGTGTTAATAGTTTAATTCGCTTGAAAATAAATTTTAAATGAAATGAGAATGAACTCTTACCCTTGTGTATAGTGTTAATTTTAATTTTCAAAGAAACTCTAGGAACTCAAGGCACAAGTTCAGTATTGTTTTAATGAATAATTATTAAACTTTAGTTATTAATATTATTTTGAATAAAATTAAATAAGAAATTTACTTTCCTTCCAAAAATGTATTACGAAGAAAAAATATTAATAATCGATATATTTTGGTCATTTGCCAAAGTTCAAAGTACAACAAAATAGTTGACCCAAATTTACATATATTTGTTTCGAAAGTAAGTAAGAAGGGAGTTCTTAACGGTACTATTGCTAGTTTTTAAATTGATATTACAAAATATTAGATAATATTAAATTTTCACTAATTAAATCTTATACACACATCATTCATATTATTCGAATGGTTCGATCGAGTTGCATAAAGCAACTATGCACTTTTCAAGCACTATCAAATCAATTTTCAATAGTCTGTTGCAATTTTAAAATATACCAAATTGCTTTAGGGCAATATGATATAAGACAACATTATAGATTATTTAATTTTGTACAAATTTGCCAAATACATCATTCATATTAATCGTATGGTTTGGAAGTTACAGGACGTATAGTAAATAAATGCACCGACGAGTTGCCTGTGTATTTACCAATGATAACGAATTAATTTATAATGCGATTTTAAAGTATACCAAGTTGCTATAGGGTATTATAATGTTAGTACACATTATGAAAAAAATAATTTTGTATAAATTTGTCAAATATTCTAACAATATTAGACGTGCACTTTAATAGTTATGAATAAAATAATAAACAAATACACTTGAAGGGCTATCACGATTAAAAGTCTTGTCTCGAGTAATATTTAATTTTATTTAAAATTTTGTATCCAAGCAAATTAAACTGTTAATACAAAAATATTGTAAATTTTATCTAGTTTCTGCTAAGTTAACTAAAAAATAGTGTCCCTTCCCAAGTTTTCAAGTTATTTACCGAAATGTAAAAAAGTGTCCCAAATTTATATATAACAAATTAAGACTATACACAAAGATGATAATTCACGCTCATTTTATTGTAATGGGCTGAAAATCGAAATTGAAAATTTTTACATTTCTCGACGTTTTGAAGGTTTCTGAACATTTTGGCATACCTCAGGAAAAAAGGATGTGTGTCTGTGTGTGTGTGTGCATGTATGTATGGATACAAATTTCCAGTCACGTTTTAGGGCGCATGGATCAACCGATTTGAATGGTTCAAAAAACATTCGATTCCTATTGATAGTGAGATGTGCTGATTAGTTTTTGGCAAAGGCAGGTCCAGCAGTTACGGAGATAAGGAGCAAAGAGTGCAGAAAATAGAAATCGAGTTTTTGAGAGAACGGAGTATCCGATTTGAATGATCTAAAAAACATTCAATTAGTAATGATTGGGAGAAGTGTTTATTAGTTTTTGGCAAAGGCAGGCCCTGCCATTTCGAAAATACGGAGCTAAATATGTAAAAAATGGCAGTTTTTGAGAGAACTAAGCGTCGGATTTAAATGATTCAAAAAACTTTCTGCTTGTCTTAACAAAATAATTGATTTTGGAAAAAAAATTTGTTTCAACTTTTTGTATATCGGAAATAATTCAGATTTTATTTTTAATTTTGACTATAGTTCTAATATACTTTAAACAAATAATTTCAACCTTGCAATTCTGTTTATATAATTCTTATAAATATTAGACAATGTTACAATATTTATAATAATCTATTTGAAAACATTCAGTATTCCTCGAACATTTCGTTACGGTACGGGAAGTTCCAGCAATTTGCCTTAAGGCACGATGCCATACACCCCACTAGTTTAAAATTTTGTATCCAAGCAAATTAAACTATTAGCACAAAAATACTGTAAATTCGACGAATTAAAAATAGTAAATTAATTTTCACTTCGGCTAATTATATTAAATATATATCAAAGTCAAAAAATATATAATAAATATAAAAATACGAACACTACACTACACTTTTGCAAAAAAAATTATTTCATTGATTTAAAATAATACGTTTCGACACCGTGATATGTCTCATCATTAGGGTTAATTCTTAAGGCAGAAAAATATATAATGTTATAAAATATTTATATAATATAAACATATATATATATATATATATATATATATATAAATTATTTCATTTATCTCACCTCTGAAGTTCCTCCAAGTGTAATATTACAAAACAACCTCTGTGTGTCTTACACTACACGCACACCGGTAACAATTTTTTAATTTATTATTAACCAATTACTAAATTTTATTTCAACGATTAATTTAAATTATTACAACACTCTTCTTCTGTCAAAATATAGTTAGATAGATATTATTCCATTGACCAAGTGAACGATTGAATAAATATGTTTCGTTAAAAACGAAAACGAAAAGTGATATGACCCAAGCCGGTTTTCTGTGCCCCCGTAGCGCTAGTTGTGTGTGTGTTTTTTTCCTAATAAATTCGACTTGGTAGGAGATTCGAACAAACGTTAGACGGTCGTTTGTGGTAATGATATTAATAGTGGTAATGGTAATGGTAATAGAATGGTCGACGTTTGTAAAAAGAACTTTAGGAAGTTGCTTAAAATTTTGCACTAGTTTCTTACATAGCCCATTGTAACTTAATTAAGTTAAAAATATATCAAAGAATCGTTTTGCCAACACTATTTCTTATCTTATGTCAGACGTATATGACTGACGCAGCTTTATATTAAAACTTTTTTTCCTACCAAATTGCATATGTTAGATATATATGGCTGGCACTATGGATGTGTTACTTTTTGACGTCAGACACATACGACTGTCATGGCGTTTAACGTGTTTGATTTTTTATTTTCTTATATATATTTTTTATGTCACACATATATAACTGACATGGCCCTGAATTAATATTTTTTTAAAAAACTTCCGGATCAATTTGTCAGACATATATAACCGACATGTATCATGATACCTGGAAACTTTCAGATCAATTTGTCAGACATACATGTTTGACACGTATAACAAGTAACTTTTTAAGCGTCAAACACATGCGACTCACCTGGCAATTCTGTGACTGACATGACCCTATATTAAAACTTTTTTTCACGACAAGCTAGGAATTTTTTAGGTGAATTTACATATATGTCTGACATGGCTCATGTAGAACTTTTTTGCGTCAACACATACGTCATACATGGCAATTATGACTGACAGCCCTATATTAAAACTTTTTTCTTGACATGTCCAGAAACTTTCAGATCAGTTTGTCAGACATACATGTCCTACATGCATTATGAGTAACTTCTTTGCGTCAGACACATACGACTAACATGGCAATTATATGACTGACGTGGTCCTATAAAAAATGTTTTTCTCGACATGCCCAAAAACTTTCAGTTTAATTTGTCAGACATATATGTCCTACATGCATTATGAGTAACTTTTTTGCGTCAGACACATACGACTAACATGGCAATTATATGGCTGACATGGCCCTATGTCAAAACTTTTTTTCACGAAAAGACTTTTAACTTTTAGGACAATTTGTCAGACATTTATGTGCAACATGGCTCATGTAGAACTTTTTAGCGTCAGGCACGTATGACTGACATGGCTATTAATGTGTTAAGTATTTTATTTCACAACTTTCATTTTTTTATATTTATTTTATGACCTTATGGCCCAATATTTAAATTTTTCACGACGAGCCAGAAATTTTTAGGCCAACTTGTCAGACAAGTCTTACATGGTTTATGAGAACTTTTTAGCGTCAGACACATTTGACTGATATAGTGATTACCGTATTACTATGGTTAGAATAACGCCTAACACATACACGGTGTATTTTCTTGAAGCGCGGACGATTTATTCAAACTTTAAGTTTTTTTTATAAAAGACCACTGGTCTACCACAACCCTACTATATTTTAGTAAGCTCAATAACACTAGGAACTCTATTTCCATATTTAAGTTCCATTAAAATCGTTTCAAGAAAAAACGAAAGACGAAAAATAGCATTCTAGATTCTCCTCCCATTGAAGATGTGATTTGGTTGGTTGAAACAAGGTTGAAAATTTTAATACTAAATTTTATCAAAAATTTTGCTAATATAAAATATCTATATCAGATTTTATTTATTACACATTATTAAATAATAAAGACGCGTCTAATACATACACGGAGTATTTTCCTATAGTATTCTGGAGCCTCCCCCTATGAAAAAAATTACACATTCACTGCTAAGCTTTTGTTGCCTGTACTTTTCCTTGTACTAGATTTTTAAATTTTTCAATATAAATTAAAACCATTTTGGACATGTTGGCTGGAAATAAAAAAAAGTACCAATAGGATAAAGTCAACAGCCTCACGCAACATATGCGTGCGCTGCAGTATTTGTGTGAAAAGTTTTATTAACACACTCGTCAAGTCAATACACAAAATTCGTCAATCAGAGTTAAGGTATTTCGCACACTGCAGACTTTTGTCAATAATTGTGAACGACAAAAATCTTTGGTAAACATTCTAAGGTAATTAACTGTCAGATGGAAATTGTCAATTTAATAAAACTTTTATGAAATAATTATATATATATATATATATATATATATATATTTATATATATATTAATATTTTATCCATCGAACGAACGTTTAAAGTTACATACAAGATTCTAATCAAATAAAAAAAGCAAACTTTGTCCAAACTCTTTTCTGTCTGTATGCGATTCTGACAAACAGTCGTACTTCGTCCTCGGAATTGTAACCATTCTGTTCGTCCTATTTGAATAAAACCTTTTGTACTATTTAAAACATTATTATTAAATACATTTTTTGGGTGCACACATTTCTACAAATATACGTACATATATAATTATTAAATAGTGCTCAGAAGAGACCTAGTCAGAAATCAAAATGTCTGCAGATTCTAAAGAAGGTTAGTTTTATTGTTATAATTGCATTGTAACTAGATTCTAACTAGATTTTAATTAGATTCTAATCAGATTGTAGTGTGATTCTAATTAGATTGTACGATTTATTGTTAGGTTTGATTGGAATCGTAAATAATTCTAATCAGATTGTATTTTTTGTGGTTAGGTTATGTTTTTTTGGTGAGCACGTGTTCTGTTGTATACAAATTATTTGGTTAGGTGTTTGTTAATGATGAGAGATTTTAATTGGGTTTTATGATTTATTTTGTTGGCATATTATCATTAATATGAGTGATGCATTTGGCAAGTTTGTGCAAAATTGAATTATCTATGATGTTATCCTTTATCATATTGCCCTACAGCAACTTAGTTTACCCTAAAATCGCGTTTGAATATTAATTCGGTATTATTAGTAAATAAACTGGCGCGCGAATGATGCATGTACAAGATTGAATTTGTTTAAAATTTAATATTATATAATATTTTTAATTATCAACGACGCGAGGTTTTAAAGAAATATATCGAATGCCTTTTAAACTTCTGAAATTGGTGCAGCTGCTTTTGAGAAAACGTCTAGAAAATGTCAAACTAAAAAATCCAAAAATCATATTTGAAGTCAAAAAAATTAAATGGGCTCGATTGAGTGAAATTAATTTGAATTTTAAATTTCTCATGAAGTTTTGATCACATCTTAAGTGATTTACAAAGTCTGATCTTTACTGATATCATCCTATTCCTCATTCTTCTTATTTTCTTTAATTCAGATATTCGAATTTTGTAAATACTATTTTTCTTTATTTTTATTCAATTTCTGCTTAACAAATACAATTTTATTAACTTCCCGAAGGTGAAGTTTATGTTTTCATAAAAAAATCTTGTTTTTTCGACGTTTCAAGCCATTCTGAATCGAATGAGACCAAATTTGGAGAAAGTATGTGTGTGTGTGTGAACAGATTTTTTGCCGTAAATCGACGTTTTCTCCAAAACGACTGGACCGATTTCAAAAATTTAAAAACCATTTGATGTGTCTCAATGAGGACTGTCGTTTGTCAGTTTTGTGCAACGATCGGCCAAGCCGTTTCTTTGTAATTTGCAAAAAAGTGTTAAACTTTTCGTCCACATTTAAGCTCATACTACCAAATCGATTTTAAAAAAATCAAAAACTGTTCGAAAGATATTAGTTGGAATGATACTGATTAGTTTTAGGTGAAAATCTACCGAGCCGTTTTCGTGTAATTAACTGTTGAAAAAAATTTAAGCCGATTTTTATGGAACTTTTTTTGCGATATATATCCTGGTCTTATAGAACTTACTGAAAAACTACGACTTTACGACAAGTAGTTTGATTCTAAAAATTCATCATTCAAGTTTGGGAAAATGAGTAGTTTTTTTGATGTTTGTTAAAACTAAAATTAGACGATTTACTTGGTATAACGATAGTGTAATGAATCCACACGGTATACTTTTAATCACTCATAAATTAATTTATTTTCATTGATTAAATCAATTATTTATACATATCGGGAAGTTCATGTAACTTGCCTCAAGGCAAAATACCAATACCAACTAGTTTTTTTTTTAATTTTCATGTTTGTATTAATTTTAAGTTGATAGTACATAAACTATTTCAAATTGTTAACTCAATGCATATATTTCGCGAACGAAAAATCGATGCATTTGAAATAAAATATGTTCATTCTAACAATAAGTCCGCTTAATTCGTTTTGCTTATACATATTTCATTCAAACATATGTAAACAACGTCGTCTAATCTAATACGTTTTCTCATTCGATAAGGAACAAATAATGAAAATTCTAGTTTTCATAATATTCATTCATAGACTTTTTTGTTGAATGATTATTTTTATTCTTCGAATATTTCATTACGGTACGGAAAGTTGCAGCAGCAATTTGCCTAAATCCAAAATGCCACTTACAACTATAGTTTATTTCAAAACACATCATTCTTTTCCCGTATCAATTCCTGTATCATTTATCTTTTTCCTTACAGTCGGTGGTTACAAGTTGGGCCCCGTGATAATCGAGGGCAAAACTAAGAAGGTCTTCGATTTGGCACCAGCCCATAACGACTGTGTCTCCTGCTCAATAAAGATCGAATCACCGCAGGAGATGGTGTCAAGGCTCACGATCTGGTCGGAAAGGCCGCCATCAGTAACCAGACGACTGCCAAGGTGTTCTCTATTCTCAACAGTGCAGGTAATAATGATTTTTAACTTCCCGTAGGGTAAGTTATTGTAATGGGCCGAAAATCGGAATTGAAAATTTTTACATTTCTCGACGTTTTGAAGGTTTCTGAACGTTTTGGCATACCTCAGAAAAAATGGATGTGTGTGTGTGTGTATGTGTGTGTGTGTGTAGTATGTGTGGATACAAATTTCCAGTCACGTTTTAGGGCGC